CCCTAGAAACACACCCCCAACCATACTGAGACCTTGGGAGGCATGTGGTCGAGGAATTTCGACCTATCTCCTTGGTTCGCAATCGTCGATCTAAGGGGATTAGGAGTCGCATCTTGGCCACAGCGGAAATTATCGGAAGCCGCTCACACACCACACCCCCGTTTGATCACAAAACCAATTTCTAAAATCACTCGGCGTTCCATGGAAAGCACCACACACGACACAATCATTCCCCCAACTACCCCTAATGATCACAATCAATAAGTATTTATAAAGACCAAAGTGTGAGCAACATTCGGTCATGAAACTGAAATGTTGATTACTTTTCTTCCCGTTTTATTATGATTCCCCCCTACCGAACATTTTTGAAGTAAATTATGAGATAGCTCCAAGATGAACCACTGCAAACAGCTTGTTCGCTATTCTGATTTTCTTACAAAGCACCGTATCTCAAACTGTGTGGGGTAATGTAATTCCTAGTATACACGCAAAGTTGATCTGCAGCCATAACATAGAGGTCAACAAAATAAACGAATTGAAGGGGTAGGTGATGTTCACGAATTACAGTCTCTCGGGAGTGAAGGACAGTTACCGGGATGCTCAGAGGTTGGCTCAAACTCACAATTCAAAGAGAACAAGTCGGGATGATAGACAAAAGGGATTAACAAAGAGATGATTGGTTAGCATACAAGCAAGTGCGATGGTTGATGAAACTCGGGCCAGCATATTGTAGACAAAGTATATGTGCTGAAAGGATTAAGCGGTCCAGGGCGGTAAGCAAACATTTTGCATAACAACGGTGTATGACATGAGTAAGTGAAGTTCTAGGACAGTTTTTAAGTATCAGAAATAATGCATGATGCAGGCAAGAGCTCAAGCGGAAGTGGAACGGAGTGAAACACTAGAAATGTTAGTGAACAAATGTTTGCGTCAGTATGAATCGGGATACCTGGGACAATGTACGGAAAAAGTCAACGAATCATATGATAGGTCAGGAAAGAAGCGAGTACGACATATGAGAACACATTGGAACATGTTTTCATGTGATTTACTTCTCGCATAGTTTGAAAAACCCTCTGAATTCACAAAATAGGAAAACTTTACAATTTTTATTTGTATTAGCTTATTCGATTTCATAGTCGTTAAGTCCTGCGTACGATCTTCGTGTTTGAGCATTTAAGGCATTTGCTATTCTGTTGCTTGGTTTTAGTCTAGCATTGTTTCAAATAAAAGGAGTTTGGTTCACATCTTGGTAATGATGCCATTTCGCCTGACCATACATGGATATATTTCATATTGAGTGTATGTGAGAACCTGCTAACACGATGTGGAACGTTTCGGCACGTTGGCATTAAAAATGAAAAATAAAGTTGAGGATGAAAGGTGTGCATTGTGAGTGCAATTTCGACGAGCTAACATACTGAGAATCAACGTTGTTTGTCGATAGCCTTTTCCAACCCTCCATAGGTCACCCACCATTACTTTGAATAAAAGAGGGGTTGTCATTCCGGTCAATCGAATGAATTCAAATTCAACTGCATCTATAACCGCCCTTTTATTTGGACTTCAAATGGTCTTTGTCAATTTCTTCTAGAAAACAGGGGGAAGGCCTTTTGGAGGCACCCAAGTTTGCGGTAATCCGACAAACCAATACGCCGGTCATAGGACCGTATGGTTTCCCCAAGGCACCTCCCAGGCACATTGTAAACATGCAGAATCCTGTCATTCAGTAGCCAAATGGTTGTTAGTAATTTTTCAGCCAGTGAGAGACACCCTTAGATACACTGATTGATATGGCTGGGTGCCGCAAACAGTGGCGCCTGTGCATCTACTCATTATTCTTGCAACCCCAGTCTCATTTTCCCTTTGAATTTGCTCCCAACATTCCACTCTTCACCCTGCTCTTTGATCCAAATGGGTGACCAAAAGATATCAACCAAAAGTGGTGCATGAAAGTGCTTGGCTAATGGTTGTAAAAACGGAAAAATAAAACCATTGCAACCCACTCATTGCTTGACCTATTGTGCTCAACAGATGCCATCCGGAACAAGAATGTAGAATGTTATCGATGAGCGTCAGCTCAATTTTTATCTGTGATCTTATCACAAAGACAACTAAACATTTAAGTCACCACATCGCATAAAGTATTATGAAAATTGCAGTACTCCTGGAGGTCTAGAAACAGTTGTTCTATCTATACATACAGAATATTCATTTGAATCTCAGTGAATCAATCTGCAAAAGAATGAAGCATCCATAGAATCTTCACTAATCACTTTATTCCTGAATTGGTTGATGCTAAAGCTTATAGGTGTGAAAAAGAAATCGCTAAATTTCTTTCTTTCTCATTCAAAGGGAATATAATGACCGAAAACTGACATCGGGGTTGGAGCATACATTTCAAGTCTCAAATCGCTGTTGCATTTACGTTCAGAACCCTACGGTATTCGCAACTCAAAGGCAAGGTTCTTGCTTTTGCGATCTCATTCTATGGTTTCTTCCTTGCTCGTTCTTTTGGTGCAACGTAAATCAGGCAGCACGAATAGGCACTCTCCCGCAAGAGTTCCGGAATACCATGCGGTTTGGCTGAAGACCGGTGAAACCGAAACTTCCAGAAGTGCCACTGCTTTGTACAGTGTCGGGTTTAATCATAATTACAAGGTTGAGTTTTATGGATGTGTAATCGGGTTACTATAGCGGTAAAGCTCATGTTTCCTTTGCGATCTGTTCGGGTTTAAGTCTCGGACGGGTCGTCGGATAAACATTACGGTTGCGCTCTTAGAAGACTGCTGATCTAGTCTGGCGCTTTCTGTGGGAATGTTTGGCGTAATCGGTCGAATTCCATGAAAACATCACAGCAGCAAAGATCATAAGCATTTCACTCTATCCTGTCTTAATCTTAATCGCGAGGAAAGCCTTGAACGTACCATTAATTTAAACTGTTCCCATCTATCTCCGACATTGTACGGATCCAGGGAAAGCCGATGAGCAGGGTCAGCCATGTAAAGTACTTAGGCGTCACACTAGAAAATAGCCTTCACTGATCTTCACATACCCAATCTGTTGCTCGCAATCCTAAAGTTCTCTTCTTTTCTACAGGTAAACTGCACCACTTCTGTTCTGATTTGTCGGTGATAGGAGTTTTGTTTAACAATGTATTCTTCTTCTACCTCATTGTTGCTTCCCTGTGTTTTTCTCTGGTTTACTAAAGGCTGATTCCAAGCTACTAAGTCGTGGCCTCTCAATGATCAGGCGTGTTCCCAAGTTCATTTATCTATTCTAATTACCAATATCTGTGATTCCCATATTGATGCGTGGTTGAGGTTTTTGTTGACAATATTCAATCTGATTGCACACATCCTTTGACAAAATGACCTGTTTGATTACAAATCCCACTCACCTCAACCCGTTCCAATACAAACTCTTCCCATCTGGGATATATGCCTATGGAAACTCTTTGGTACCCTATCTTATCCGAACAATGATCGACAAGGAGAATGTTCTTTCTGAGTTTCCTAATTCATTTAGTACTTAGATAACATATTTATCACATATTTATTCCCTTTTTGCAGTATTGTGACAGTGGTCTCTTTTTCGCTGAAAGCTTATTTATAACTATCTCAAGCTTTCATACAATACAGTACAATACAATAGAGGTTAGTGGATGTGAACCTCGGCTGGCCTTGCTTTACAATCAATCGTCTCAATATAGTTATTGTCTTCATCGCATATTCTCATACTGCTTATAAGTTATTAACTCCTATGAGCACGTGCATTTGTTTTCTTTATGAAGCTTAAAAGCACTGAACTCATTCGGGTGCTGAACTGAACAAGAATACCGGGTAATAAATTAAACATATATTGGTTCCAATTTATTTATGATGGAGGAGGGTTCAATGAACGAGAGAGATATACGTCCAAGGTACACCGTATAACACCTTCGTACAACCATGGGCAATCCTGATTTTGAATCACGTTGAGCATCTTGCATTATTTCGTTTCTGGAATCGAAATCTGTATGAGTTCTGCCGGTTTGAGGGCTCACAGAAGTCAGTACAAGTCTTATTTTTCTCTGTTTCAGAGACCAGGGCCAGTTGGATCAAAGACAGAACGCATTGATTTATTGCATTCAGTGAATGATGAAGAAGATTCATGGAAAAGTGATACTGATTCTCGAAGTAAAGAAGAATTGCGTCGAGTCGAAGCGGATATTGGAAGGAAAATTCGAGAACATGTAAGTTCTGTCAGTGATATTTTGGTCGTTGTGTGACGTGGTTTTGTCCTTGCAACAGGATGTAGTATGTATTTGTTATCGTTAGGTATTTTTCTTTTAGTTTATCGAGTTGCTAAGATAAGCACAAGGAAGGGAGAATGGTGTGAATTGCATGAGGAGATTCCAAGAAGTAAGAGATGTGAATTGGAATTGGATGATGCTAGGAGATACGATCTGAAGAAGCTCTTCATATAACCAGTGTGAGATGTTAGATCATAGACTTTCACGAAATTTACACTGATAACTCAACGCCTGCCTCAATCAAACAACGGAATGACAGGCAAGCTTCGAGTTTTACCAAAAAAAGTGATTGAATTTCTAGTGATACTATGATATTATTTTACGCAGTACTTGAACTAAGTAAATTCAGTATTTAAATCATAACGTTTCTCTGGCACTGTCGTGACTGTGCGTCTTTCGGGAAAAGAACTATTGAGAATTACAGAAAAATGGAGAACAAGCTGCTTTTCAGTCGTTCATAAGCACACTGATAATAAATACATGGATCAATTTCGGAGAGGTAATGCCAAATCACAGTCATATTGGTCCGGAACATTTTTGTGTGTTTACGTAAAATAGATCCGAGTGTCAAATGCTTAGGTGGTTGCATTGGATTCATAGAACAATGATTCAAAAATGGAGAAAATGAATAGGAATCTGATCAATTCCACGATGGTCACGTTCTACGGTTGAGATCTTGATTTCGGCCCTGAGTTGGATCGATAACTTCGCACTATTGATGAACCCATCACGACGAGACTGAACTTTGGCGTGGTGTGATGGCTTGCGTGCCTCAATGACCCTGCGAGCTATACAGGATGGCCCCTCAGCCGCAGCTAGTATCATACCTGAAAGGTCACGGTGTAGAGGCCAGACGACGATCAGTCTCACAAAGCCAGCTGCTTCGGCACCTCTTGGTTTCCTTTTCTATCCACATCCGCCCCTGGAGAGATCAATCCAGTAAATAAACACGGTGAGGGGCAGTTTACCGGTCAAAAAACCCGTTAGATGGACGTAGGACCGGGGTACCTGGGGCTTCCTCTCGACGGTGGGAGAAGTCTTCGCACTTCATTGGACAGCTACCGCCCGCCCAAGCTGGGCAGCCCCCAGCCAATAAGGTGCTGTCCCGTCCACGTTCCGCTTGTCTCATTGGGTGCATGAAGCTAAGGGCCGATCCCGAAAAGCGGACCGACAATCAGCGCACCAGCGAACAACAAACTTAGCGGAAAGTCAAAGGCCTTACGTGACAGATCTCTGGAAGCTCCCACACGGGTGCTTCATTTATGCGCCCGCGTTGGATTTACGTCCACACTGCCTTGCCGGTCAGAACTTTGAGTCGAATGCTCCGGTTAGGGTTCCCAAAGGAAAACCCCTTCGTCGGTGTGGGCAACCGCGAAGTATACCGTGCCCAAAGGTCTTAGGTACCGATTTGGAAAACCGTCTTTCTCAACTGTCCATTTCCCGTTCTCACTCCCATACCTTAAGAGATGCATCCTGTTTGCGCCAACCATCGGATACCACTCAGTGTTCAACAAATGAGGCCAACCACTCAGAGGCTATCAGATTTTTGAAACCAAAATCTTCTTTCCACTCAGCCACATTTAATGTCCGCACGCTCTATCAGATTGGTTAACAAGCCGCCTTAGCTAGAACCCTTGAAACCTTCCATTTAGATGTGTGCTGTGTCTCCGAAACACGCATACAAGACCCTACTTCAATCGTCTCCTTGCGTTCTCCAAATCCAAACTCATCCATACGCTTCACTCTCCGTGTCTCAATTCGACATCCGAAGCTCGCGGTGTTGCTAGTGTTGGGATTGCGCTGAGTGTCACGGTCGAGCGTTCACTTCTCGATTGGATCGCGGTTAACAGCCGAATTTGCGCCGTACGTCTCGACGGTTCAGTACGAGGCAACAGCTACAAAACGAAACGTCGATGTTTATTCGTCGTATCCGCATATGCACCGACAGATTACAGTTCGCCAGAAGTGAAGGATGAATTCTACAAGGACCTCTCTCAACTGCTCCGAAGTGCTCGGTCAACGGACATCGTGGTGGTCGCTGGAGACTTCAGTACTCAAATGGGATCCCTGGGCGAATCAGAGAGGCTACCTGGAGGTTCACATGCAATCCCAGCCAGCAGGACTGACAACGGAGAACGCCTACTCCAACTTTGTTTTGATCACGGACTGTTTCTGTCAAGCACGAACTTTTCACCCAAATATCGCCACCGTCTTACATGGAGACCGCCAACCGCTTCACAGCGCTGGACTCAAATCGACCACATCGCCATCAGCCACCGCTGGCGAGGATCCATTGAAGACTGCCGCTCCTACTGATCAACAACCATGGACACGAACCATGCTCTGCTACGAACGAGATTATCTCTACACCTAGTAAACAAACGCAGAAAAGCCACCGAAAGCGGATGCCCAAGATACAATGTCAGCAATAGTTGCAAATCGGCCTTCAAAGCGGAACTATCAGATCGTCTCTCAGCACAACCATCAACCGGAGGACTCAGTGAGTACTAGACGGTAATCAAGGAAGCAATCAAAATGTCAATCGAAGCAACAGCAAATTCTGACTCACTATCCAATAAAAAACGATGGATCTCCCCGAATTTGGCTGCCCTGGCTGGACACTCGCAAAGCCATTCCTTCTGATTTAAACTGCATCAAAGCACGCAAATCCCTTAAACGCCAGCTCATCAAAAGTTTGAGGAATGACCGCGAGAAGTGGTGGGTAGGGAAGTGTAGAGAGATGGAGAAGGCTGCGACTATCGGTAATAGTCGCAATCTTTTCCGATTATTTGGGAGTTCAGGTCCAAGGAAAGCAGGCGTAATTGAGGTAATTAAGGAGTCCGATGGTACACTGATCCATGTTCACCAAGGCCGTATAGATCGATGGGCAGAACATTTTGTGGCTCAGTTCAGCTGGCCCTCGTCAGCACAACACCTCTCTACACCCGATTCAGCTTTGCAGATACTGCCAGTTGACATCAGTCCTCCATCTGAAATAGAGGTTACCCGAGAAATAAGCTATTTGAAAAGGTATAAGGCTTCCGGCCCCGACTGGCTGTCCCCATCGGCTTTTAAGGATGAAGGTCAAGCCTTGGTTTTGGAGTTAATAGAACTCCTGGGCTCAGTGTGGGAAAAGGAACAGGTTCCAACTGAATGGTGT